TTGATGTGTGTATATTTTTTTTCCAGACAGTACACCCTTGATATGTGCCTGATGTATGGTACTTCTACTGAAATAGAAGCATTGCAAACTGTTCAGCCCAAGCTATATCGTCATAGGAAGATACAGCATAAGGAGCTTTTTTACACTTTTGATTCAGCGAAAACATAATTTCTACCAGGGGCGGACTGACCATTTGGAAACTCGGACACTGCCCGAGGGACCGGAGTCAGTAGGGGGCCCCATGAGATGCCCCTTTTCTCTATTTGTACTGGTCATCATTGTTACTCAGAAAACAAAAGGAAATCCAGATTTTTAAGTTTGTCACCAGTACAATAGGTGAAGGTATATTTTCCAATGACTGAATGTGTTCTAGTGCCTAAAGAGAGAAATTCCTCTCTCTTGGAATATTTTTTTAAACTCCCTCTTACATCTTGAAAGAAAATCTCCCCAACAATACCACCAAAAAATACCTTAATACCTCTTTTCTATTCTCTTCAAAATTAATGAACAAAAAAAGTTTTGGTTATACATAAACTCTAAAATGTCTACAGACATTTGGGAAAAATCCTCCAATGTGGCCAGTTATGGCCCCAGCAGGGACGGACTGACCATTTGGAAACTCGGGAACTGCCCAAGGGCCCGGGGTCAGTAGGGGGCCCCATGAGATGCCCCTGGTACCTTTTTCATAGGCTTTTTTGAGTTTGGGCAAGGACACGGGGGCCCCATGATCTCCTATTGCCTGGGGAACCCATTAGTTGTCAGTCCGCCCCTGATTTCTACTTTTAGAATAAAAGTGAGAAGTGGTTTATCTGAATCTTATCTGAATCACTCAGTGCATACATTCCAAACACTCATTTGTAAGGAATACACAGTACGTTGCTGCAATTGGCTATATTTCATCACAAAAGTTTGTCTAGTTTTAATATTTTTAAGAACCAGACACTAAAAGATGTAACGTTGGAGCACAATGCAAATAATAGAGAAATGTAAAAACACACAAAAGAAAAACCATTGGGACTAGCATGATGCAGAAACAATAAAAGATAATTCCCCTTCCTTCTATTTAATTAAAATAACACTGCCAACATCTTTCAAAAACTCTTTAGAAATAGGTATTCCTAAGCAGGGTGATTTCTTAATTGTTTGTTAAAAAGCTGAAAAATTAACCCAGAACAGCTTTATGAATATGGCAGTATCTCTTTTGGCTGTACTTCTCCTGTAGATCACAGAAGTGCAGTTCGTTCTGCACTCCTGTGACCAGTTTTCAGCCTTTTAGCACACAGTCAGCTGACGTCACAGAGTCGGTTCAGGCTTGGGAAAGATCAGGACCATATAGCCAGGATCCACCGAGGAGCCTGGACCGGCATCTGGCTCAGGCTCTTAGCAAGACTCAGAGGCTGAGCCAGCCACTCCAATTCCTTTCACTGCCCGATGCTCCAGTGAGCACTGCAGGGGCAGAGCAGAGAGTGCTGACTGACAGTCAGTACTCTCCGCTCAAAATGGCAGGGAGAAATGCATGATCAGCGGTGTCTAATTTTCTCAGCCTAAGAGCTGTTGAGGGATAGATGCAGCATCAAATCAATGCTGCATCCACTTAGATAAGTATGATTAAAAAAACATAATCTCATGCTTCTTTTAATATTTCCTATAGCCAGGTGCTTGAATAAGAATGGAGAGTGAGAGAAACACTGCCTGCAGCTGTTCTCTGTAGCTACTGTCCTAAGGTGCTGAAGTGGTTAACAGCTATATCAGCAAGTGGAGGGAACTGCTGAGCAGGATGAGTTCTATAAACTGAGTCAGACAGCAATGGACTGTGGGAACTGTAGTCCAGAGGAGAGAGACTTTACTGTACACAGGAGCTTTTGAACTGAATTTCCCAGAGAGAGATTGCCAAGAGAAGGGGAAAGAGCTGCATTTTCTCTAGCTGTACAGGACACAGCTTATTCTTGCCATGAGGGAGACCAGAGGGTTCACATCCTAGTGCAGTGTGCACCATCACTGCTACATGTCAGCGGCCTGAGCAGGATTGAGAGCACTGACTTTGGGAGTGCTGAAAGGCAGAGTTACCTGGGTGCAGAGCAGAGGGCAGACACATTGCTGTGTGTGACCAAGTGATAAGCTGCAATATCACTAGGACTGGTGAGCTGCTGCTGTGGGGATTTACTATCTGCTGGTAGAGAGAGGCTGAGTCCTTTAGGAACTGACCATACAGCCATCTAGTAGCCTTACTGTCATCTGCAGGCTTGACTGGGATGATTCTCCTGTACACCAATGGTACAACTGGGCCCCAATGCTAGCTGGCTAAAGAGTCAGGGCTAAGAACTGTCCCTTTACAGCTACCATAACTTCACCTATTGCTTATGCTAAAAGATACCACTCAGGGGACATTGCACCATATCCTATCCATTCTCCTAGAGTTCATTCTAGACTAGTTATAGTTTTTATTCACATTGCAGTTAATGCTTATATGCACTGCTTATTGCTGATTTTGCTACTTTGAGTTACTCCAACTTTAGTGGTCTGATGCCTCAAACATTGTAAGTACAGAAAAAAAAAGTTATTTGACAGACAGAGTTTTAACCAATTGTATGTAAAGAGTGAGAACATTTTGTAAAAAGAAAATATCTGACTATATACTGTATATATTGTATAGATGTGTGTACACCCTGTTCCAAATTATTATGCAAATTCTATTTAAGTGTCGCAAAGATTAAATATTTTGTTTTTCAGTTTAACTCATGGATGGCATTGTGTGTCAGGGCTCTTTTGATCACTGAAAACAATCTCGGACACCTGTGATAATTAGATTGGAAGGTGAGCCCAATTTAAGGAAAAACTACTAAAGGAGGGTGTTCCACATTATTTAGCAGAGCACCATTTTCAAGCAATATGGGGAAGAAAAGGGATCTCTCTGCTGCCGAAAAGAGTGAAATAGTTCAATGCCTTGGACGAGGTATGAAAACATTAGATATTTCACGAAAACTTAAGCGTGATCATCGCACTATTAAGAGATTTGTGGCTGATTCAGAGCATAGACGGGTTTCTGCAGATAAAGGCACATTGAGGAAGATTTCTGCCAGATCCATGCATCGGATCAAGAGAGCAGCTGCTAAAATACCATTACACAGCAGCAAACAGATATTTGAAGCTGCTGGTGCCTCTGGAGTCCCACGGACATCAAGGTGTAGAGTCCTCCAGAGTCTTGCAACTGTGCATAAACTTTCTATTCGGCCACCACTAACCAATGCTCACAAGCAGAAATGGCTGCATTGGGCAGAAAAATACATGAAGACTAATTTTCAAACAGTCCTGTTCACTGATGACTGCCATGCAACCCTGAATGGTCCAGATGGATGGAGTAGTGGATGGTTGGTGGACGGCCACCCTGTTCCAACAAGGCTGCGATGTCAGCAAGGCGGTGGTAGAGTCATGTTTTGGTCCGGAATCATGGGAACAGAGCGGGTCGGCCCCTTTAGAGCCCCTGAAGGTGTAAAGATGACCTCTGCAAAGTATGTGGAGTTTATGACTGACCACTTTCTTCCCTGGTACAGAAGAAAGAACTATGCTTTCTGTAATAAAATCATCTTCATGCATGACAATGCACCATCTCATGCTGCAAAGAATACCTCTGCATCAATGGCTGCTATGGGGATAAAAGGAGAGAAAGTCAAGGTGTGGCCTTCATCCTCCCCTGACCTCAATCCTATTGAGAACCTTTGGAGCATCCTCAAGCAAAAGATCTATGAGGGTGGGAGGCAGTTTACATCCAAACAGCAGCTCTGGGAGGTTATTCTGACATCTTGCAAACAAATTCAAGCAGAAACTGTCCAAAAACTCACAAGTTCAATGGATGCAAGACTTGTGAAGCTGCTATCAAATAAGGGGTCCTATGTTAAAATGTAACGTGACCTGTTAAAATGTTTAAAAAGTTAAAATGTTGTTAAAAGTTTGACTGAAATAGATTTTGATTTCAGTAAATATGCTGCAAACACAACAAATGACAATTTTCAGTTCTTTACAACCTATAAAGTGTTTTGAAACTTACTGTGCATAATTATTTGGAACAGTGCATTGTAAGTTTTTTATGTTTCAAAAAAATCCTGTTATCATTAGGAGGTTTGTTCAATAAAATGTGAATTGTACTCTTAATAGTTGATAACATGAGAATTATGCTTACTGTTATTTACATCAATTATTTAGGTAAATGAGAAAAATATCATTTGCATAATAATTTGGAACAGGGTATATATGTTATACATTGTACAGATGTATATATTATAAAATAAAGGATTGGGATGTGTTCATTGTACATGTTGAGTCTGTTTGAAAAATCATAATGTCCCTATACCCACATTCAGTCCTTTCTGCATCCATATACAGTATCCTTCATTCACATTTATGTTACTACTGCACTTCCTCACCCACCAACACCCAAGCTACATTTGAAGAGACCGTGGGGTTGATATTCTAAAGCTAAATAGGCTGTTCATTTTGCAAGGGAATTTGCCCCAGAGCTTACTGAATGCGATGAAGTTTCACTTTGCAAAAAATACACAATTGTGTAATTAAAAAAAAAAACTTTGCTTGTACATAATTGAATGATGAAAGTCAGCAGAACTTCACCTCATTCCGTGAGCTCTGATGCAAATTCCTTTAGGAAGTGCAACTCCCCCTGCAAAGTGAACAGCCTATTTATCTTTAGTAAATCAACCCCTGTATCTATGACAGTCCCTTCAAAGTTGAGCAGATGAAGGAAATAACTATTGGACAAAAGTTTCCACCTTTGAAACCTAAATATCCAGCCCAGGACCCCCCCCCCCCCCGAACACCGATTCCTGTTATTGAATACATCTGGACTGGATTTTTTTTTTTACATAATATATCCCTACAAACACCATATAACTGTTACATCAGTGGCCAAAACATGGGGACGTTGCACAAATATATATATAAATATAATATATACAAAATATAGAGACGCTAATTGTTTATATACTTACCAACAGGGGACATTTCTGGTACAGAAGCTGTGTAGGGTCCATCAAGGAATTTGGGTTCATTGTCATTGATATCTTGAATTTTAATGATAAATTGTGATTCTGGCTCCATGGGGTTGCTAGTCCTTCTATCCAGAGCCTGGGCTTTGAGAGTATATTGGGCCCTCTCTTCTCGATCCAGTGGCTGTATTGCATGAATGTCACCTGTAGTGTCATCAATAGTAAACATGGTTCCTGCCCCTTCACCATTCAGAATATATTTTATTGAGCCATCACCTTCATCCATGTCTGAGTGAAGCTAAAAAAAGGAAATTTCAGTCAACTTTAAGCAAACGTGTACTTTTCCCACACACATGTAACATGTTTATTTTACAGGAGGCACTATAAGCATCCTTTATTTCCTTTATTTCTACTTGGAGAAATATCTTCTTCTAGTACTTTTAGGTTTGGGCAAAAATTTAAACTCTGTCCTCACTCCCTACAATGCTTTGCTTGGTGCCTAAACAGCCATTTTCCAGGGCTAAGTGCTGTCATAGGGCAGCAGTGGGGTGGAGTGAACAAGCTTTGAATATGTTTCACCATTCTCTGAAAGTTAGAACCTACACGAAATTCCAGTTTGCTTACTATGGCAAAAGTAACATTGGTGAACATTACATAGTTTTCATTGCCTGTAGTACAGATTATAAGATTGGGAGGTCAAATATAGCAAACTATACACCATACAATTTTAATAAACACTAGTTGTCTACATGGCCATAAGTATTTAGTGGTGTTGGTGCTATGTGTCTGTTTTTTTTTTTTTTTTTTCTTCATGATTTAAAGAATTTGCACACCCAATATTTTTCATATTCCTAATATGTGCTTGCTGTACCATGTACTTGTATGAAAAGGTATCCTGTTCTCTTTGTATTGCTTTCCTTGTGTGAAATACCTGGTGTGCCTGCCAGTCCCTCTGCTTTCCTATGAAAAACCGACCACACAAAGCAGGAGAACACACCGTGGTCAGTGGTCTAGCTGAGCTCCTCCAATGATCAGACATCTGCTGACACCACCCCCTACACACAGCCTTTCATTGGGAAGATGCTGATTTTTGTCCTCCCCCAGCTATGATGCAACTGAAAACAGAGATAATGTTCTCTTTTGCAACTTAGAACAGAGAGAATAAAAAAGGGATACAAATGTATTAATACTGTTTTTTATATTTATACACAAATGTTTTGCCTTGCATTTCTGTTTTATACTGAAGGTGAGGGTTTACAATCACTTTAACGTAGACCTTGCACTCCTGCTTTTGCAGTGTCCCACCCCCCACTTGTCTTAAACTGCTGCAAAAAAAACCCACACCTATCACCTATCATCTAGCTTACCTCTGATTTCCATACTACAGGGAGTCATGACACCATCCTTCCGATGAGAGCTCCGGGGACTGCCAAGTAGGCCAAATCTTGCAAGATAATGCTTACAGCACAGTGCTTTTCTTTAGATATGGGATAATTAGCATTTCCAGGGTTCGCATACTTAGGGCCCTCACCCTAACGATGGTAACATCACCCAAACCTAGGCACTGTGGGCAGAAGCGGTGAGTAAAGTATACCACTTGCCCTCCGGACGATTTACCCCCCTTCCTGACCAGGTAATTTTTTTGTGATATGACACTGTGTTACTTTAACTGACAATTGCACGGTCATGCAATGCTGCACATAAATTAAATTTATGTCCTTTTTTTCCCACAAATAGAGCTTTCTTTCGGTGGTATTTGATTGCCTCTGCATTTTTATTTTTTGTGCTATAGACAAAAAAACACCGACAATTTTGAGAAAGAAAATATATTTTTGACTTTTTGCTATAAAACATGTCCAATAAAATATTAAAAACGTCAAATTTCTTCATAAATGTAGGCCAAAATGTATTCTGCTACATGTCTTTGCTAAAAAAATCCTAATACAAGTCAATTAATTGGTTTACATGAAAGTTATAGTGTCTACAAATGGCAGTATATATACTGCGTGACTGCGGCGGACATTCTGACTCTAGGTGCGAACTGACTAACTGCCACTGACATCCCCAGTGACACTAATACAGTGATCAGTGCTAATGAAAAGTACTGACACTGTACTAATGACACTGGATAGGAAGGTGTTAACATCTGGGGTGATCAAAGGGTTAACTGTGTGCTGTGTGTGTTTTACTGTGCGCTGTGTTTTACTTGGGAGACATGCTGACTTGTATCTTTCTGCTGTGCAGAGAAATACAAAACAACATGTCCATGCTGACAGCTGAGACACCTGTGTTGTTTACACACAGGTCTCTCCCCTATCAGCTTTCCCTGATGATTGTGGAGTGTCGGTCGGGAATCTCCGGCCAGGACCTGGTGAATGACATCTCCAATAGTGGCTGTGTACCTTGGACAGATCTGTGTAATTGACCGTTGCCAGTACCATGTGATCTGCTGTGACCAATCAGCAGATCACATGACCATTGTAAGCAATGGATGGCTTCCTTTCATGCCATCCATTGTATACAATAGTGTTACTAGCTGTGATTGGTCACAGTGATCACATGTGAAGACTGGGGCAATCACAGCCCATGTGTATCATGTGATTAGCTGTGGCCAATCACAGCTAATCACAACAAAAAAAACCCCTGAATTAATCGATTGCATTCAATTAAATACTTATAGCAAAGAAATTCTTTGCTATAAGCAATCAATGCGTAAAAAAAAAAAAGTAATAAAAAGTAAAAAAAAAAAATTAATAAAAAGGAAAAATAAATATTATTTTTTTTTCGTACTGTCACTGTCCCTGATCAGTGCCACACCAGTTATATGATGACGTTGTACTGCACTGGTGACAGAATGTAAAAACATTTATGGCATTTTTTTTTAATTTCTTCATTTTCCAAAAAATTATGACAAAAAAACGACAACTTCAAAAAACTCGCCATGCCTCTTACTAAATACCACAGACTGTCTACTTTTCAAAAAGGGTTCATTTGGGGGATATAAAAAAATATAAAAGCAAATATATATATATATATATATATATATATATATATATATATATATAGATATATATAATTATGTCGCTCATTTGGATATTTTTCATTTGAATTTATATATATATATATATATATATATATATATATATATATATATATATATATATAATTTTATTTAATTTCTTTGTTATTAGAGGTTTTTTATAATGTTATATTTTGTATTTCGGAGTGATGATTTTTAGTAGACCATTCCTGCCTTCATACCATTATCTATATTTGTTTTTATATTTCTTTTGGACATTGCTAGTCCCTTTATTATTCATATACTAGATATATTTCTATCTATATTTCCTAGTTTATGATTTCCATTTCTGTGGATGTACATCCACTGACCTTTTGTAAGATGGTGGTATTACTACTTTGTGCCCTCCCTTAGGATGGAGGTCCCCCATATCTGGTTTCAGATTTATATTTAGTAATGATTTTTTTAAAGATGGCGGGTTCTTTACTTCTGTTTTTTTTAAGATGGACGTTTTGCACTTCTGGTTCTGGCCCGTGCTTGATTGGAAAGAAGAGGGCGGATATGCGATACTATAAATATGTGAGATGTTCGCAGTGTATTACCCCTTGATAATGTCTGAGTGGACAAAACGCGTCGGGAGAGGTGTTTTCAATGCTGACGTCTGCACAATCCCGGGTCGCAGCAGTTGTTTATGTAAGCTGGCAGTTTTTTGGTTTTTGTCTTTTTGATTTTATGTATCTATATTCACCTATTATACAATAAACCCTACACTATTGGAAGTATATTCTTTGCTCCTGGTGAGCTTTATTTTACTACAGCCCGGGCAGACAAGATGACACACATTCACCGATTTTCATATCAAGACACATGGGTTCCTGCTTGATTATATTGGCGTTTATGCTGTTGTAGTGGCAGCCAACAGTTTTGGTGAGTTTGAAATTCACTGGGAGATGGTGACGGCATATTTCAAGTGGAATTGTTTTTTCTACAAGTAAGAGCACTTCTATATGGTAGTGGATGGGCATTAATTTAACACCTTCAATAATTTTTTTAGTTTGGTTTGCATTGTTTATTTACATGGACATTTATTTTTGACACTGTATATTATAAATTATGTTAAAAATATTTTTTTAATTGTTTAGTGCTGCACTTCACATTTTCAGTTATCATTAGGTCTTTATACTATCTATTTATGCCTGCTGCTCTGCATTATTAGTCAGCACGGATATATATATATATATATATATATATATATATATATATATATTTTTATCTTATTTAATAAAAAGGACTGACACTGTACTAATGTTACTGGGCAGGAAGGGATAAACATCTGGAGCGATCAAAGGGTTAAATGTGTGCTGTGTGCGTTTTACATTGTGTGCTGTGCTGTGTTTTACTAGGAAGATATGTTGCTTTGTATCTCTCTGCTGTGCAAAGCAGCATATCCATGCTGACAGGAGAGAGATCTGTGAGAGCCCTGCAGACAATCACCGAGCCCCGGCCGGGAATCACCTGCTGGGACCTCATAGTTGACATGCCCAGCAGCCAAAAGCGGTGCGGGTAGGGCCAGGGGTGGACTGACCATTCGAGCTCTCGGGCACTGCCGAGGGCTCGGGGTCAGTAGGTGGCCCCATGAAATGCCCCTGTTACCTTTTTATAGGCTTTTTTGGGTGTGCTTTGAGTTTGGGCAAAGACACGGGCGCCATGATCCCCTATTGCCCGGGGGCCCCATGAGTTGTCAGACCGCCCCTGGGTAGGGCGCCCCTACTCGGAAATGCAAATCATGTATATATACGTGATTTCGCGCAGCTGTTCTGCCTTTAGCAGTGCTTTTACTATAGAGCGGATGTTAAGTAGTAGCATTGAAGAGTGTTTCTTTGCTTTTTTATTGTGATAAGCACTTTTAGGCCCCATGTACATGGGACACTTCTGAACAATGGAAACTGACTGCTGGAAAACGTAGGTTAAAAAACATCTGTTTAGTCGTGTTTGCATAACGCGTTTATGTGCGTTTGCGTTTAGAATCGGTTTTTAAAGATAAGCACAGGAGAACCTCCCAAATGCCCAGAATGCACTGAAAAGTGGTAAATTATTGACTATTTCAGACTGTTTTAGAGAAATACACAAAGTAGAAGCAGAGACAGTGGTATGTGTTGATGTTAGCTAAGTGTGAGTTGCTCATTAACATTTCTTCTGTTTCCAAGGGTGGGAAGGTGGCTGCTGGAGTGAGTCATTAAGGCCACCTGGCAGGGGGTCTTCATGAGGAATTTGAGGTG